AGTAGTATTATATCACGATAACCTAGGTGTTTTCCTCTGTAGCTTTTTCCCATATTCTAAAGATTGTGTATTTATCTAGTTGTTAATGAGAGCAAAGTAGATGAGGCATCCTAGAATGTGTGTTTTTGACCTGTTTCATTATTTTATTTGATTAATAATTTAAAGAGATTTTTAAAGTTTATTTTAATATATGTTGAGGTTTTTTAAAATTCAGATTCACTAGGTTTTCCATTTGTTTTTTTGTTTTTAGGCAAAGCACAGAAACAATTTTTATTAGTGTTTTTCACTCAACGTTATATTTTAAGCATTTTTATATTTCTACATTTATTTTTAATTGAAGTAGTAGTTGGTATATTTTTATTGTATTGATAATTTACATTGAAAATTATTTTAGTTTTTGAAAGAATTTATTTCCTATAATAAATTTGGCCTGTGAATAAATTTTCGAAAGCCCTTTTAAAAGTAATTATAATGGATAAATGTGGTTCTTTAGGATCATAATGTAGTTAGATGTTACTCAGACTTTCATTTTTGGTCTGTTAGGGAAAGTAATTATTAATAACATATGAAGAGTTTGCCAAGATCTGTTTGTGTTAACTAAAGAAAGGTCTGCCACAGGAGCTGAAATGCATCATAGTAGTGTACTTTTTTTTTTTTTTTAAATAAGTTTAATCTTCTATCAAAATCCCGGGACTTTAAAAAATTGGACAACTCAAGATGAATTAATAATCCTCGTAGATTGAGTATATAGTCATTGGAAATTTCTGCTGTACTAATATTTTAGTCTATTTTAATTAATTTTATTGCTTAAAAATGTTGTAATGAAACTGTACAGGGCACTTCTCTGGTTTTCTCTTCTGTGTGTAGTCTGCTCTGGGAGAAGTCTTCAGCCCCACTCTGTAAAAGTATGGTTCTGAGTGTAGGATCTTTTTCCTCCCAAGTCCTGGTTCTTCTTTTCCTGGCAGGCACTACTTCTCTTCTTGGGCCTTGGATCCAGAGACATATCACATGTTTCTTTCTCAGGGAAGACCTGAAGGTAGTGCTTCTCTGGTTGAGCTGTGTAATTACTCATTAGAAGAGGGCCAAAAGAATTTTTGCCAGTGTATGTATTAGGACTCCTTTTCCTGTTATTACTGTTTTCAAATCAACTGTGTAAGAAACAGGAATGTTTTGAAAAATGGGTAGAATACATTTGCTCTTATGAAGTAATTTTTCATTTATAATTTTTGTTGAATTAAGTCATAAATTGAATGTAAATGTTTCTTTTTCTATTTTGTTTTTTGATTCCACAGTCCACGCTGTAACACTGTTTCTAAATATCTTCGGATGCTTGGCTTGGTTTTGTGTTGATCCTACACGAGGGGTTGATTTTGGATTGAGTATCCTGTGGTTCTTGCTTTTTACTCCTTGTTCATTTGTCTGTTGGTACAGACCACTTTACGGAGCTTTCAGGTAAAATGTGTGTACATTAAAATATGCTCTTTAAACTCTGTAAATAATTTGTGGTACATCTTAAAGGGAAAATTGATGCATTTTCATTTTCAAACTTTTTTCTTGTATAACATACCTTCGCAAAAGGACATGTATAACACGCCTGTGTATTTATTAGGTTTTGTCAATCATAAAATCTCATTCATTTCTCCTACTTGAGAAAATGAATGAAAAATAAAAAGTCTTAAGTCTTAATATTTGTAAAAGATTTTATTCCATATGATACAATTGACTTTAAGGAAAATTTTATTCATTGCCCCTTTCAAAAAAAGTCATAAGTGATGATTATAACCTAAATCTTAAATGAACCTAGGTAAGGTAAATTTACATGTAATGTTTAAAATGAATTACTTTCACCTAGCAATTTGGCAGTTATTTTCTCTGTGTGTTCATTTTTGGTTTTTCAAAAGATGGCAATATTTAAACTATTTAGACAATAAGATTAAATATAATACCTTGCATGGTATATTTTAATCAGTGGTTAAGATTAACATTTTCTAAATGCATGTTCTATGGGATATTAATAGCTGTTGTGGAAAAAGGGGTTTATATGCTTAAGTTTAGGAATAGCTGGATAATAAAATTAAGCAAGTTTCTTCATTTTAGAATTTCTTAGACTCTTTAAGAGCCTAGTATGCTTTGCGATTTGACCATGAAACCATTATTTTTTTGTGTGCGCAGAATACCTTTTTGGACTATTGCTTTAAGAAATAAACATTGGGAAATGTTGATTTAGAAGATAGCCTTGTTTGAGTCCATGTCTTCAATCGTTTATCAACTCATTTTTATTTGAGTAAACTAATTTATGAATAATAAAACTTGTTCAGCTCTCATGAACGAGAGGCGGCATTACTAGGAAATAGTTTCTTTCATTAGCTGGAATGTGTATCACTCCCTTCTCCCCCCCACCCCCAAATGGGATTAGAAACCCAGATATGTAAACAGATGGAGAGAAAAAAAAAGGGGGGGGGGGAGAAGAGTAGCATATTTGGAGAGAAAAAGTATTCAACAGAAAGCTAAATTGGGTAGAAATAGAATGAAGGGTAGAAAATCGATGGGAGGAGAGAGAATGAGGAAAGAACCTTTGGATACACTGGAATATGGAAGATTGGTTGTCAAGGAATGGAATGAAGTTGCCCTGTAGATGTGGGTTGGGGAGGAATTAAAAGGACCAGAAGAGTAGCATATTTGGAGAGAAAAAGTATTCAACAGAAAGCTAAATTGGGTAGAAATAGAATGAAGGGTAGAAAATCGATGGGAGGAGAGAGAATGAGGAAAGAACCTTTGGATACACTGGAATATGGAAGATTGGTTGTCAAGGAATGGAATGAAGTTGCCCTGTAGATGTGGGTTGGGGAGGAATTAAAAGGACCTATTTACCCCTTGCATGATCCAGGGAGAGAGTTACAGCTGTTCTTTCTCTTGTTATCTAAGCCTGGCTCACAAGGTTTTTAAATTTTTAATCTTTTGGCATCTGGCCTCAGCTTGCCTACTTTCATCACATTACCAGTATATCTGGAATGATGGTGGTGGATATGGGGATGTCTGTGAGAGTTTAAAAGTGACCTGCGACAAGAGACTTTGGATTTTAAACCTTCTATGACTAATGTAGCCAAAACAAATTATTAAAAGCCAGCTTTTTGCCTTTTATTACTTTAAGTCACTCCTTTTATTCCCTTTCTTTGCGATTAAAATAAAAATGATTTGTGGAGCATTTTTACTTTTGGCATTATTAATCTGTGGGCTAAGTTCTTAGCTTCATCTCAGCCTTTTAGAGTATATCATAAATATGTTAATTATCTGGGTTTCACTGTTTAGAGCAGAATCGAGAGGAAAAATTATGGGGAAAATTGAAATTAAAATATTTGAAATCATTGATGTACCTTCTCAGTGTGCAACTTCGGAATTTTCTTCATCCAGATTGCTATGTGTTTGAGTCTGTTAACTCTCTTTGAAAGTAAAGTTTGTTAGCCATTTATTGACACATTTTGCTCTTAAATATGAAACACTCAAACCAGATACGTTGGATATGATTATATTAAGTATAGAGTTTTAAATAGACTTATTCATTTAAGTGCTTTATATGAGATCAATTTTGACAGATTACTGCCTTTGAGAAAGGGCAGAGTCAGGATATGCAAGTGTTTTATATTCTGTTTTAAGACTGATGACGAAATGAAACACAAGCATCTGCACATAGCTTTGTAAGTCAGTAGAAAATGGATAATTAAAACTTTTTAGGCTAGGTTCACATATTTTTGAAAAGAAATTGTTATTGAAAACATTTAATTTCTATTAATCAGACCCTTGAATGAAGCTAAAGTGCTTTTTAAAAGTTTTTCAAGTTTTGTTTTTCTCTGGCTAATGATGTATTTGCCTCTTCTGACATAAAATTATGTGAACAGCTACTGCAAATATTATTTCCAGGTTTCCCTATAAGTGAGGAAGAGAATAGTTAACAATAAGAACAACATGGCAGGGATTGCTTTTAGAATAAAGCAGTCATTGCAAACATATAAGCTAGAGGGGACATTAGATTTGAGAATGTGATCAGTTTTTTTTTTAGTTTCCCAGAGAATTTTTTCCTTGTAGATGGGTAATAATTCCAAGTTTCTAGAGTAGCTGTTAGCTTCCTGCTAAAAATAACTAAAGGGCATATCAGGAAGTCTTTATTCTAGAATGATCCATTCTTTGTTGTCCCTTAGTTAGAGTTGCATTTTTAATTGACATATGTAGTTTATCTGGTTTTTTTTTACTCATAGTCTAAAAGTCAATACATTTAGTATCTTAAAAAATTCCTTTTTAAAGGTTAACAATTAACCTTGTTATCAAGAACTTGTAATTTGCTTAAAAGTCAATACATTTAGTATCTTAAAAAATTCCTTTTTAAAGGTTAACAATTAACCTTGTTATCAAGAACTTGTAATTTGCTTAGTAAATAAAATGATGGCCAAGTAAGCCATTTTTTACATTAACTCTAACCTGAGAAGAAAAATATAATTGTTTTAACTGAATTATAAAATACATTTAGATTGAGTTAAAGAATTTGATAATAGCCTTAAAACTCATTGAAAAATTTAAATCTACATTTAACTGATTATATTCAATAATTGTATATAAGTCATACTGATAATTACATATAATGATTTTTAAATGTGGTAAAGGTAGACTCTATTTAGGCATAATCATTTTTAAATTAGTTATTATATGCATGAGAAGTTGGTTTTCTATTGTCATCTGAGTTTCTGTTTTATTTCATTTGCAAGTTCATTATTGAATTCACTTGATTCTTTTAGAGAGAGATTATTATTAGAAAAATTATGATTGCAAAGCAGTTGAAAATATGAAGTACCCTAATGCTAAATTAATTGAACTCATTGAACACTTGGTAGTATACTAGGCTGGAGATAAAATGAAAACATGGGATTTGCCCTCTAGAAATGTGTAATATAAATTATTTAAATGTAGGCATTTCTGAAACTTTGGCTAGTAGAATTCTTATATAACAATTGGATGATATTCAAACACTTGAAAAATGTTTGAATTCCAAAGGAATTTAATGTTGATATCGTACTTAGTAATATGTCTCTAAATATAAGATCAGTTATTTTCAAGTTAGTCTCATCTTTGATTTACCTTTTTGAAGATTTAAGCTTTTAATATTTTTTCTCCAAAATCAGAGGAAAAAAACAGCTTTTACTGGGACCATCAGAACATCAGAATGTTCATGGAAAAGATGGTTTTCAAACTGTATAAGATACTGTTATATATGAATATGATGTCTTCTTTAGTTTTCAACCAAGAGCGCTCTTTACTGATATATTTAAAGGATACTGCCCTCCATAAGGTAGTTCCATTGCCTGAATCTGAAGGAGAATTATGTAGAGAAGTTTCAAGTGTATATGCTTTTAAAAGTTTATTAGATATCAGAATTAAGCTTGGAGTTATCACTTTGTTATTTACATGTTTTTAAAAATGGTAACTGTGTTCTTAATTTTATGCTTCCACAAATCATTAAGCATTATGTAAATACTCTAAAATGTTAGGTAATTATTAGTAAGGAAATGTGTTGTTGAATAAATATAACTATTAAAAACATACTGAGAAAGGGTTAGAATTCTGGCATCCCCACTTAAGAGTTGTATGCTCCTAAGAAAATGCAGTAAAACCTCTCAATGCCTCAGTTTGTTGAGTGTAAACGAGGGATAATATTTGCAGAGTTGGTAAGAGGATTAGAGATAATATATGCAAAATATTTGGCTTTATAGGTAGCCAACAGATGGCAGCTGGAATTAATGTTCTACTTTTTTGGTTAGGTTTTATTATTTACTTTGGATGATCTATAAAACTGTTATTTGTTATATTATTTTTTGCTGCTTTTAGTTCACTGTCCTTGGTGCCCCAATCTGAACTAGAGGAAATTATAATTTATACTAAAGCATATGTAGGTCCTACGTATTGCCAGGTACAAATAAACTTTAAAAATCTAGTCTTCTAATAGGATTTTTTGGGGAATCTATGTTTAATTACTGCTATATATAGATTTATGTCTACTGTCTTTCTGTCTATATTTACTACTTACTATATAAAATATATCTGTTATATACTTTTTCTCTTTGCCTTCTTTAGATTAATAATTATATTTTTTATATATTTTACTGTTTTCTCTTTATTTTAGTATAAGTCTGCTTGGCAATGAATTCTCTCAGATTTTATTTTACTGAAAACATTTTCATTTCACCTTCATTTCTTTTCAACTTTATTGAGGAATAACTGACAAATAATATTGTAATATATTTAAAGTATACAACATGATGACTTGATACATGTATACATTGTGAGAAGATTCCCACAATCAGATTAATTAACACATGCATCACCTCACATATTTACCTTTGTTATTAAGAATGCAAGATCTACTCTCTTAGCAAATTTCAGTTATGCTATATGATATTATCAAC